CTCACACAGCGCAATCGGAAATAATCCAATTGAATAAATCCACGGTTGAGATACAACTTAAGGATTATTCTACTTTACGTAAGCTATACACATATAATTTAACGATGTATTAATACACTAAGGCATTTTGGAATCCGAATGCGACGCCGATGCAGACATTTTAAGCATAACAGAACACTGGACAAGCAGTCATTAAATTAAAAAAAACCCAGTCCAGCAACAGGCAATTAAGCCACTAATTTTACACCTGAAATCCTACTGAACGAAGATTTGCATTAAACTATCATAAATTTGTTGTGCCAAAACTGACTTAAGGAGCGGAATTTAGTGGAACCAGGTCCTACACTATTGGTTAAGTATACATCCGATAACGGTCACAAGTTGCTTAAGTACGGCTACTAAAAACACACAAAGCAGAGGATAGCCGGCATTAATATAAATAAAAGAACAAAACAGTTGGAAATTCAAATCGAACTAATTCACAAATAAGTTAATTAAAATAGTTAGGTTTGGCTTTTTCAATCACGTGCACCTTTTCAATTTCAGTATTTTTTATCCCCAAATTTGTATTAAAAAGTAATGGTTTAGTGATCACAACAGAAATACCTGCGCTAGTGACGATTAATCTTGCCGCGCCAAGAGAAGGAGGTGCCTAAAAAGAAAAACGGCAAATCGTCTGTCATATAAACTCTTATGGTTGGAGTGATGGCGGCATTAGTGCGCGAAGACCGTAAGTAAAATCAATATTAGGGGACCATAATCCAAAATAATGTTGCAGACCGACACAAACATACACAAGTATGTCCGTTTTGACCAGTATCAAATTGTTCATCAGCCAAACTAGCTGTTCCAGCCTGGGAGTTACAAAGACTGGGTTCAGATAAATTGCATGGAGGCATGCAGCGCCGCTTGGTTGAATCTGAACAGAAATCGCTCTTGGGCGGTGAAATGTGCCTGTCGGCGATCCCATCAAGAGTAGCAGCACGGGTTGAACGGCTACCTACAATTCATGAGAATCGAGGTTAAACAAGGGAAAAAATTGGCTGAAATTATAAAATGTATGCTTGCCTGGAGGAGTCTGATGGGGCGAATTCTTAGGAGGTGGCATCAAGTGCTTGCTAAACCAACGCCTGATTTTGCGTCCAGTAGGAATCTGAGACGGAGACTTCTTGTTAACTGCTGCTGAAATATTAGAGCCACCGCAGTCAGGCGACAAAACGGTTGACTTCGGTGCAGTGCGTCTGATTGTGAGGCGTCGAGCGAGTTGGGTAAAGAACGTACACCGAGGTGGTGGGCGAATGGCACATGGTGGATCCAGAGAGGCAACGCAGACAGCTTTTACAGCATCATCGGATGGTAATTTTGACGGAGTTAACTGGACTGAACACCTAGCATTTGAAACTTGCGACTTGTCGTCGTCATCAGCGCAACCGCCGCACACATTTCCAAAACTATTTATATCAGGAACGTCAGGGCTGATTTTCGATTCCAAGCCAAGGGTTTTTGTGTACGTAGAACCGTCTAAGGTAATGTTTAGTTTAGGTTTATAACTGTCAATATTTGAAGTCGAAGGCATTATCTCACATCTATCAGTAATAATTCCGTTAACACCACCAGAATTCATTTGACCTTTAGTTTTGAATTATATTTAAATAAAAGGAAACGTACTAGTGCGGTGGTTATCTGTAAACATGCCTAAAATTCCCTGAAGTGAGGGAAGAATGATAAAAGAGGCTACTCCAAGTGAACAAGAAACGGGCTGAAGTATTTCTAACACAAGTTGGTCCAATCAGCACTCAAAACTCGAAATATTTTTTTTTGTCTCATTTTAACGACCGGAGTACGAAACAATTGCCGAATGTTGCAAAACATTTTTGTAAAAAAAAATCGACTTGTAATTTTTGGTACAAAAATATAAATATCATGATAATCATCGAGCACCAAAAGGACCATAATAAGTATAAGTATAATAAAAAAAATTTAAAAAGACTTTAGATATACAAAAACAGTTTGTGCAATAATTTATTCTGCCCACACTAACTGTTTAAACACTCGAACCAAATGCGAAAACATTGTAAGTGTTATAATTAATTCCGTCGCGTTCACTTACCAGACGTTGCAATTCCTCTGAATAGATGATCATTAAACATTCTGATTCCATATTCTTTACCCGTCATTAGTTCATCCTAACGACGTGTGTGCTAGACTTCATTTGAACATACTAGTGTGGACTATTCACAGCGATAGTGTCTGGATGGTCAAATGGATTAGGTGGGTAGCGGTGGTGTATGCAAAGTGGTGAATGAGAAGACGATCCATCATGGTAGACGGAGGCCCCGTGAGACGAACAATTGTTTATTATTTTACTGCGGCAAATGGGCTGCTGGACGTAAATCAACATGACATATCATACAGTAATTATTAATTAAAGAAGTGTGTAGACCAAATACGGAATGTAGTGGAAAGCAACTAAATGTACATAATCGGCTGCGTAGCCACTGCAACTTGACAAAGATATACGGCACCATAAGAACCGATCGAGCTTTAATTTGCAAATAAATAGGCGCTGTTGTTTAAGAAATTTTCACACGAGGATAAAACATTTTATGAATGGTGATCGATTACAGCAACCATTTAAATCAGGAAAAGACACCACCAGGTTGAAAGTAGGCACTACTTAAGCGTAAATTCAATTTTGACCAACTTTTTTTATAATCTACAATAACTTGAGCTAGGAAACCACAGAAATTGATTGTGCTAACTACTTTGATTGACACTATATCGCTGGCGTTGTCAAGCAAATTAAATCTAAGAAATTAAGCTAATAGCTAGTTAGGGGCTGTGTTAAATAAGTAAATATTGATTTTCATATTTTATTTTTGTTCCTAACTACTCAGTGGACTTAAGCATTTAAAATTATCTTCGGTTAAATAAATGCATGGATAACCCCTAACAATTATTTCTGTTAATTAATTGCTTTCGGCAAGCTACTACTGAACAAAACCAAAATGCTTTTTAAACAAATCATTTGCATAAATTTTAGGTTTATTAACATTAGAGGTTAATTGCTACAACATTGCGAATAAATTGGAGCGAAGCCATTCGACTAAACTGGTCGTAGTAATTAAGTCATGGTTTAATTCTCCTGCATATTATGTCCAATTCTACCAGCCTAATATATCTTAATTTTGATTATATTTTTTTAAATAATTGAACAACAAAATAATCGATACTCGCAACAAAGTGCAACATTATTTAAATGGACAAATATTACCGTGATCCTCAGAAATATTCTGTATTTAAAAGCAAAAATTGCGTCAGTTTCTGCCTACTATTAAATGAATTAATTAAAAACCTTCTTCAGTGTGGCAGCGATCTTTTAAACAGGTAATGAATTAGTGTTTGTTTAATTTGATGCATTTGACAGCGGAAAATAGAACTGACTGATTTTCACAATGCGTAATTATTTCAGTAGCTTATATTCCATCTAGAATCCAACGATCATATCCTTGAAGCTGCAAATAATCGACATGCAGATGACTTAAGTGTTAAAGTCAATTTATTAAAGTCAGTAAGTTTACTCTACATTATTAGGTTGTTAATGCATTTCTAAATCGGATTAATAAATTCTGTTCAGTTTGTCTACAAGAGCAAAAGTGTAGATAGTTTTTCTATCCTGAGGATAAAGTAAAACTTTTATTTGGGACTTGAACTTTGGTCGTTTTGGCCATGAATTTTCTGTTTATCTCAGCATCGTAGTGTTTTCGCATTCCTGTTTTAGCATACGCTTTTTTTCAATCGATTCCATTGAAGTAGCATCAGGTTTTCTCTTTGCAAATTTGAAGTTATGGGGACTGACCCGAGGTAGACTTATTTGCATAGATTTCATTGGCGATTTTGCCACTTGTCTGTCCCTTCACTTTTGTATTTTAACCGAAAATTTTCGTAGGGCACCGATTATAGGAATTCCCATTTTGTTTAAATCTTTAATGGTTTTCATGTCTAGATTTATGACTGCGCTTTTATTTAACTAAATGCTAAATGTATATTATTATGTCTCAGCTTATATCACCTTTCCGATCCCCTTGTGATCTCAATACATCTCAATTAACAGACCTTAATTTGTCGATGCATCTGCAGCTTTAAATAGAACAGTGCTGAATTTTTTGTATATTTTTCTAAATTAAATAGTTTTAATGTTCATTGAATGTGCTGTGTATTATGACGGATTGACACTCCTCCATATTTCACTGGCTAATTATCATGATGTTTGTGCATCATTAGCCTCATTAATTGAACAAATTATTTGCGTAGGTGACAATTTTTAGTATAGTTTCTTTCTTTAATGTTAATCCAGTAATTTTGTAAAGAAACATGCCACTGTGTTGCTACTTACTTCCCCCTCATTGATATTTAGTCTTTTGTAAGCTATTGAAATTTTTTTGTCTTTCTAGGTATTTGCACTGTCACAGTGTTTAGAACATTGGTATTAGTAACGCTCAACTGTTAGCCACATCCATGGTTAACTCTCGTCTATTTCGTCGCATTTACTTAATACTTGATTTTTGAATTGTTGGACTCTAAATTTAGGAATGTAATGTTTTAAAAGTAGCGTAAATTGAAAGTTAATGTTTGCAAAGGTTTATTTGGTTGTGCTAGTGAATGATTATCTTTGCAGTACATATCAAAATGGGTTGTCAGTTCCTTGACTACCAAATTATTTAGTTTATTTTGTTTTCTGGAAACTTGTAACCCCTAATTTGGAACTGCGTTTTTACATACTCAGTCACTTTGACTATCGTAGGATAAATTTAATCCTGTCGCAAACATCCTGTAATCTGTGCTCCGGGTCCAATGTCGGTGCATTTAATGTGTCCAATCTAATTCATCTTATTCTGGCTACTGTTTTCTATAAGTACGCGAGGGATATACGCGATGAGGCAAAAGAGCAGAACGAATTCCTCGATACCTTACAGTTTGCTGCTGATTCGGCAGGAAGCATGCTGAACAGAACAGTGGGACGAGTACTAAATATTCCAGGCGGACGACACAACAATCGCAAACTTCTCTGTTTGACTGTATCGACGTTCATTGTTGTGTTTGTTATCTACACAATTATACGGCGCATACCGGGTTGATGTCTGGCTCGTAAGTGACCGCATGCCCCTCCCATCACTTTTGTTCGTAATTTCACAGTTTATTTTTGTTTAACCATATTCATAAAAACTTTACACATTTAACGATGATCATGTGGAGGTGAAAGCTCTTGGGTGCGTTAGAAGCGGGTTGCACTTTCTAAATTTTCATTCAATGGGAGTATGGCTAACGATCAGATTAACAGCAATCTATTTGCTATAGCCCGCAACATTCTTGTTTATGAACATTTTAAAATGGTTGGACATAAGCAAGCGTCACTAAGGCTAAGTGCATTGTCTCCTTGTACCTCAAATACGAATTGTCTATCGGTTTCTCGAGTGGAATGTCGAATAACATCCAAGGCGTGTTGCATCCGAATCGGATTAATCCATTGTAGTATGGGAACGTGGACGGTGTTTAATACACTGGTAAACGATTACAGGGACGCATATATGATTATTACTTGGAACTCAGATAAACGGGGCTAGCATACATAATAATACCCGAGTGAACGAGACCTTGTCGCAAAGAGAATGGAGGGGGCTGAATAATCTAACTGTGCTTTAAACATTCAATCAAAGACATTAGCATGCGAGGGAACAATGAATGCAAAATGACGCGAACAATAACTGTTTCAGTACCTGCCTCAGTGCGGCGTGACCAACCTTAGCACGGATATTGCCTCTAACTTGTCGTTATGTGTTTGCCGGCGATGTTCCGAGGGCAGATACTTGTATTTTGGCAAGGATCTATGAAATGTGGTCAAGACATCAGACACCTACCAAATACAGTCATGACGACAAGGAATCTACTTAGCATTCCTAGAGTGCTGAATTTGCAGCACCTACACACTCTTCGAGTATATTTGAGGCCCAGATATACAGCGCACCCCTGAGTATTCTTTTTACACATCACTCGGAACTGCCTTAAGCTTGAGCGGAATAACCGTAGTGCGAATAAAAGACATTTGTTGTCTAGTTTTTAAGACGTGGGCCAGGATGATGACCTGTTCAATTACAAGGAGCACAAGTGTGCGTAGAATCAGGGTGGGTGTGCAACTCACACTAATTGGCCAGTATTTGGCTGTCGACAGGCCTGAAGCTGGCGCTACGGCCATTTTTCTGGTGAAAGTTGGTGCATTTTAGTAAATGAACAATGTCTGGACATGATAGGCCTATGAAAATAGAACACGTTTCCCTATCTTTATGTATAAAGGTCAGTCTGCGGTGGTCGGGAAACAACCCGGCACGTGGAGGATAAGTATTTGTATGGAGCCGTAATTGCTACAAGCAACGCATGAATCGACAAGCGCGGTCTTGGAATTATATAGCATATCAAAAGATTTGCAGCTCGTGCCATCAATACAAAAGAGGATCGACAGCGGTTCCATAAAGCCTCCTCCAATTTCCGGGTGTCTTCCACGAAACAGGAAAATCGGAAGGAAACGCTTTTAACAAGCTATTGAGTGCGTGTGCCATAAATAAGGCATCATCACGGTTGTCTCCGTCACAAGTGAAGGTATTTAACAGGAACGTCGAAATAGTCTGATTCTTTTTCAACGCATAAAAAAGTGGCAGCGCGACTCCAGATCCCAGAAGATTCAGAGACAATTTGTCGACAGAATCGCCGTCTAGCACTGCTTCCTCTAACAACTCAGATAGACCGAGACTTGAAAGCGATTCTATATCTTCGGTACTTGCTGACATCGATGCAGCGTATTGCAAGGGAGGACCTCTCAGCTGTCTATCCTGGAAAGGAAACAGTGTAATACATTGATAATCAAAACACAAGCTATGTGTATTATTTAATAGATGAAAACATGCTCAGGCAAGTTTGTGATGTGCTGGGAGTAGATGGAGGGGATTTCATTATTGTGGAAACAATGGGACCGGAGTCCGGCAACGTAAAAAATGTCATTGTGTGTTAAACCGAATGGAATAGCGATCCAACCTAAGTGATTTTAGTAGCCTACCTTGCGAGTCATTGCAAAGCTGCTCGAGAGAAGAACAACTGAAGAAAACCCTTCGGTTAAGATAAATTCGACAAGGTCTGCAGCAAATCGACTGCGGCAACCTGAAAAAACTGGTGCTCGAACCTGCAGGAACGATAACTGTCTTGAGATGTCATCATAAAGCTGAAATGCAAGGAAAAATTTTCCCGCATAATTACGGATACAAGGAATCTGAGGCAGGCGAACCCAAAATGGAGGTATTGTCGCTTACAGTACTTTCGATTATAAACGGTGGCAATGGGCCAATCGCGAAGCAAATTCTCATTAAATAGATCAGAAATCAAACGAAGGATAGAGATTTATGTAACGCTGGATGTTATAGTAAGATTTCCAGTGACATATAGGTACCACGCGCAGTAAACCAAATAAACGTACCTCTAGAGAGCAAGCTAAGGGGGGAGAGGACACTATCTCCGAGTAAGGAGCGGGTCCAACAAGAGGAGGGATAAATGGAGAGTCAAGATAGCACGTAAAAGTAGGCATAAGTGTCGAAATCAAAACGTCCATGCAGAGTTGACTAACATTACCAACACCAACACAAGCAATGATGAATGAATATCCTTGCCGTCTCACAGACGAGGTTTCAGCGGTTCCGGGGCAACGTAAGACCATCTACAAAAAATAACGTCTAAAGTTCATTGGCTACAGATCAAATGCGCAATGAATGATGCACCCAAGTAATACAGCCGTAAGATCCAGACAAAAAAGGGGTGAAAATGGAGGCGGAATTGTGGTTCGGTGGGTGTGGAACTAAGCAATGCAAATCTCACTACTACTAGATTCCGGAGTCTTGAAAGGTACTCAGATTATAAAAATGATGAGTCCCAACGTGTATAAATTATAATTTTAATCAAAACGAAAGTCCTAAGGGGTCAAGGAATGTTCATAAACACGGCCTTACGAATCAAGTATAACAAAATAAATCACTAACGAAACCGACATGGTTGCAGTACAATCGTTTCAACACTGAAACAAATGGAGGGCAAAGCGTTTACTTTCAGAAACTAAAATATTCAGTATTGTAGCAAAAAAAGAATTGAAAACATTAATTTGAGAAAGGAACGACACCCTGTACGACGGATCAGGGCGCAGACATATTGGATCACCTGGCCTCAGCCAATCTTGTGTCTCTCTGCGTTCCAATGGCATGCGAGGAAGATAAGCAGCCAACCAGAGAAGGACACGAACGAGGAACAGTATATAACGAGCGGCGTGGCCAGCGTAGTGGACTCGGATGAAAGGCGCCTGACGCGTGGCTCTGGCTTCTGATTGGTCAATAAAGCCTGTTCTGTTGTACCAGTCTTTTTACGATTATGGCTCGGGTATTCTACACTGGTGGCAGCTGATGCGTTCGAATAACGCAAATCGAACGCCAGCCCTTTCTCTCCTATGGTCAACAGAGGCAAAGACCCTTGAATGCCGGCTGAAATTTTCATGGCGTTCATCCGATGTCCCATACACTGGATCCATAG